TTTCTAAACTAGGGCTCAAAAGATACAATCTTTCAAATCTCAAATATTTTTTCCCTTAAAATTTCAAGGGATTTAAAATTTAAATGTCCCATCTCTATAAAATACTCTACTGTACCATTAAGCATACATACTAAATCAATATCTAGACATTTGCTGTAAAGCATGGCATGTGATGTATTAATGTTGATAAGCAAATGCTGAAACAACTTATTTCATTAAAGGTGGGATTCTTTTCCATATTTTACCTTTATGATATTACCAGCACACATTTAGCTTCTGACTAGGTTTGTTATTCCTTTTCACAAAAGTACTTTTTTTTATTTTAATTTTCATTCAGTTCTTTATTTCCTCTTCTAGATATCAGATCTGTATTTTTAATTTTATTTTTCATCTATGTTCTTACAGTCATTTCGTTTCTGTACGATTACTTTGTTTCATGTGATAACATGTAATTAGAATCATTAGAATTAAAAAAAAAAATAAAAGAAAATCATTCATGAAGAATCTCACAGAGCTCAACTAAATATAGAAAAGCAGTTCCAAAAATATTTCTTCAATTTGCATACAGATCAAATATTTTCTTCACTGAAGAATGATTTGACGAGCTCAATGTGGCAAGTGCATACTGTCATTCCATTATGATACTATAAAAGTAGATTAGAGCTCAAAAGTAGAAAACTGCAAAAGTTTACAAATGCACTTCAACACAAATGACAACTGAAGACAAATAGCCATCAATCTAATATTAACGCTAAAGAGATGATAAGGAAATTGTGCAGCTTGCAGTATCTTTTTTCTGAAGAGGTTAAAAAACACTAAAAGATACTGCTTTCTATATTTACAAGTAAGCCTCACTAGAAATTCACCCTAAAATATGCTTTACCATCCTGAATTTTGCAACATCCTGTATCAATAACTACAACAGAAAGGAGTTTTACTTAGGGAAAAAACTGACGAAAACATATTTGAGGTCACTTTTAAGTCAAGACAATCTGTATTCCCTTCTTTTCTGGTGATAGAAAATAGTTTTAAAAAATTATAGTATGATATATCACTAAAAACTTCACCTTACAAAAAGAAAAGAAAAAAAAAGAGAGGAAGTTCATTTAAACTGGCTGCAAATGTTAAGAGTACTGTTCTTTTAATTAACTAAAAAATAGTACACTTTTTAAAATGTTTATAAGTTTAATTTACGCAAGCACTGATCACTTAGGATGCCCAAATCCTGGAATTGGGTGTTATTAATCAATACCTACTCAAAGCATTTGATTTTGAGTTTTTATGTAATAAATTATTGTGCATGCATTTTAATTAATTTAAATTTTCTTTTAATTAGTGTGTTTGCTACATATGTTTATTTATATAAATATGGATCATGTGACCTCAAGTTGTGTAAGAATATTAAAAATTTTTTAAATAAAGTTTTACTGATAAACAGGTTGGGCAAGTTTCTGATTATTCATATCTCTTCAAAAAATTATGAGCTTATTCACATTTTGTGAATTGGTGAACAGTTGATGATGGTAACCTTTACAGCTCTAGGGTATTCATATGTTCTTAAATAATAATACAAAGAAGTGTTTTATGAGAAAGAAATTTTGTGGGGGGGGGGAAATCTACACATCACAGTGATTAGCAAATAGTGGTGGTTAAAGAGTATAAATTAACGTATACTCAAGTAAATGTGTGGTACATATATGCATGGATTAACTCTGATGCATCGATACTCAAAAATATGCTAAAATATAGTAGTTCTAACAGTGATTGGAAAGTATGCAAAATTTATATAACTTGGGTCACTATGAAATTCATTGAAAGGTTAGTTTATTTGCTGCATTTGTTCAACATTTTTGTTTAAAAATCTCTATAAAATTTTATCAAAATATTTACAATTAGTCTTATGGAAAAAAAAAAAAAAAAAAAAAAAAGCATGAATCTCAAAACTAAACAAATGAAAACAACAAAAGCTTTTAAGTGCTCATAATCAGTATAAGTTTTTAAATTTACCCTTTAATAGAAGATTTCTTTAGTAATTAGTTAATGCTCATTATTCAATAACTGATAGCATCAAATAATGGATTATGAATGTATAAGAAAACTTCATCATCAAAATAATTTTGTATTTCAGAAAGACTATATGTTACTAACAACTCTCTAACAAAACAAAACAAAACAAATAATAATAATAATAATAATAATAATAATAATAATAAAATAAATAAATAAATAAATAAAATAAGCCCCCTTTTTTAATTAACTGAGATGTATCTCAAAAAATATTTATGCAGTATTTAAGATTCCTAACGCAAAAATTGTATATTATTACTTGTTCATGTTCTTATTTCCCTATTATATGTGTTATTACAGATAAAATACTAGTTTTCACTCAATAATTTTAAAACTTTCACAGATTTTTTAATAGCCAATTTTAAGTATTATTTGTAGAGTAATTTTTTTTCTATTTTGCAAAAGCACATAACACATAAAATCCATGTGTCCATATTTACTCACATATATCCTTATCCTACTAATTTTATTGCTTGAAAATCCAGAGGGAGAAAATACATGATGCATACTATTTCTGAAGAGATAACTTAAATGATAAACATAGCACATTAAAAAGTGCACATAAAGGCACATTAACTCTCTTAGACAAAAAAACACTCTTAGACCAAAAAACGATGCACCACGACGCACAGAAAAGATATAAAGCAAATTGGACACAAATTGATATGCATACAGGTTTGGACGGAAAATGCAAAATTTTACATTTTGGCTGCCAATGAATGAACGGTTGTCGCTACAGCGCATCTGATCTGCGCAACTGGTAGGATATTTAAGAGGAGAAATTACGACTCCAGGTCATAAATTCTTCATGTATTGCATTCCGTGTACTCTGATAGACAGTAACTATGCCTTGCATACAGGTGCACGAACGATATGTGCAGATGTCAGAATTTGAGAGAGGTCATGTTGTGGGACTCAAAGAAGCCAGTTGGTCCTTACAGGCGAATAGCTTGACATTTTAACAGGAACGATGCCACTATTAGATGATGTTGGCAGGTATGGGTGAATCATTATCATTGATGCGTCATTATCAGATGCATCATTATCATTGACTGTACGTGCAACTAGTGCTTCAGTGACCATTCCTAGATGGTTCACATAAAGGGGGCTGAGGTCACGGCGCCTCTTGCGCCGACTACCATTGACCTCTGTACAATGTCAAGCCCGTTAGCAGTGGTGTCGGGCTCATTCGCACTGGAATGTCACTCACTGGAGTAGAATAGTCTTCAGTGATGAGTCCCGCTTTGAACTGAGCCTCGATCACCAGCGAAGGCGAGTCTGGAGACGCTCCGGACAGCAGTATGATACCAACCTGACTGTCTTCTAGAAGACAGGCCGAAAACCAGGAGTGATGGTCTGAGGTGCCATTTCATTTCATAGTAGGACCCCTTTGGTTGTCATCTGTCACAACCTTAGAGCACAGCAGCACATCGATGAAATTCTAAGGCCCGTTGTGTTGTCCTTTATGTCACACCACCCTGGACTTTCATTTCAGCAAGATAATGCCCGACCCCACACTGCCCATGTTTCTACTGCTTGCCGAACATTACCTTGGCCAGCAAGGTTGCCAGATCTTTCTCCTATTGAGCACATTTGGAGCATTATGGGCAGGGCCCTCCTACCAGCTCATGGTGTTGACGATCTAACGCGTATTTATATAACTTGAATTTGACAGAATTTGGCATGATATGCCTCAGGAGGACATCTGCAACCTCTATCAATTGATGACACATCAAATAACTGCTTGCATAAATAAGGGCCAGAGGTGGACAAACGCGTTACTGGCTTTTTCACTTTGTGAAGCTCTATCACTTCAATAAATCATCCAATTTTTCTCAAACTGTAATCATTTGTTTTTCTGTACATGTACATCACTTCTACTGATTTTTTTCCCATTCGGATAATTCCTTCTTGGTGTGTCTTTTTTTTTTTTTTTTTTTGTCTAAGAGTGTATTATTATGGGTTTCAAAGGACTTATCCAAGTTATCAGCTTCAATGATATATTTTTTATTTACAAAAAATATTTTTCTATTGATGCATATACTTCCCACCATTATCTTAAATGAGAAGTTTCAAAACGACACACTGAAAAAAATTATATGATAAGAAGAAATATGCAAGTAAATATGGTATTACATTTAGTTATAAAAAGAAAAAAAATGAAGAAATCACAAATAAATAAATTATATTGCATAACAGCTACAACTAGCAATAAATTAAAAACATAAAAAATTACTTAAGCAAAATGCAATAAAAATCATTTCAGCTTTTTTGTATAGTACGAATAATAAAAGCAATTCTTCAACTACACTGCACATGTATTTTCCTATAAGATAGGTGTTTTATTTGCATTTACATGCTATCAAAACTACCTTAGTAGAAATCACCAAAGCTTCACTGATAATTCAGGCAACCATGCGTATGATAAATATTTAGTTTCCAACATTGCCATTTTCTTATGCATTCTTGTTATATTCCAAGTTTCAATAGGTTTTATAGAAAAATTAATTTTTTTTTTTTTTTTTTTTTTTTTTTTTTTGTCTGGAATTCAATTTAAAAATTTCTGCTTGTAGGATTTTTATATAACAAAAAAAAAAAAAAAAAAAAAAAAAAAAAAAGAGAGAGAAGTGATTTTGCCACAAAATTACTTAACAAGGCTTTGAATTCTTTCTCAGTTATCACTATGAAATTTCCACTACAACAACAATCTGTTTTTAACTAAGTTTACTGACTCTGATTGGAGGTAAATAGTTAAAATGTTAAATATGTACATATGTAATATATAATATTTTACAATAAATGTAATCATTCTTTCTCTGCCATAAAATTCTACAAACTGCACCAAGGTGGTTGTGATAACACATAAGTATAGTTTTATTAAGCGTTTTCATTTATTTATAAAAATACTTTTTCAAACTACAGATGTCAAGTACCTGAATGATCTGAATTTCCCAAACAGCACCAACTCTTTACCCAAGCTATAAGATAAAGAGTCATTTGATAAGTTACTTTTTAATCATAGTAAAATTCATAAAAATGAAAATTTATATCAATAAGCTATCAAAAACCATATTAGTTAAATAAAGTACCAGAAGAAAATTCAAGCGTGGCCACTCTTGAATGCATTGCAGTTTCCTTCCTTCCTAAATGTAAAAAGTAATTTTAAATTTTATTATAATAATTATCATATGATATATATACTAGAAATTTTAATAAAGGATCAGATTTAGCATATCAAAAACAAAATATTAAACTCTAATTGGATGCTTTATTTTCACAAAAAAACTATAAACTGAAAATAATTGTGCAAGAATAAAAAAAAAATATTTTATAATAAAAGATCTTTAAAATTCAAATCACAAAATGTCACAATTATATTACATAATGAGTAAATTTAATTATTCTGCACAGTTTATGCCATAAGCTACAATATTACTTTTTTCCTTTCACCACAATTGATCTTTCAAGAGGTTCTAAGGCTATGCCACGATTTTCAAAAGCACTTTAGAAAAAATTAAGGATTAAATTATCTTACAGTTTTGCCATTTATGGAGATTGTCATTAAATTTAGAATATGTTTACAGTAGAAAAAGATCCTGTTGGGGAAAAATTGAGCATCTAGAGCTCAAAACTCATTTAATTACAATGCTACTAATGCAATATTTGCTAGACTCTTAACAAAGTCTGAGACCACACCTTCCAAACTCTTAGCACTTTGCTTCTAAAATATTTAAGATGGTGTGAACTTGCAATAACCATGTACCGACTTTACACTATTAAGCTTTAGTTACGCTATTAAGAATTCCATTATGCATTTTTCAAGTTAAAATCATCTTAATGAAATTTTGAAAATAATTAGTTTTCATTTCATGCTATTACATAAAATTAAATATTTGCTAGAGTTGATTATGACTTGCATGATGTTTTCTCTAAAAATAAACATACATACAAGAATAAGGAGCTTATAAATTAGAGATAATATTAATAAAAGGGCTCATTTGAGCTTGCATAGTTCACCATTTCAGGTAAGTAGTACTCAGCTTTTTCATTTTATTTCTCCCTTTCAACATATGTCAGAATACTATTCCATCCTTTCTAAAATTTTTCTGACTTCAAGTTTCATTCCAATTAACGTAGAAAATATAAAACATTTTAACATACTATAAATACTAATAAACATAAATTAATTACTAATATACATATACTTCAATTAAAGAAAACTTCATTAAAATTTTAGAAGCAATGAATTTTAATTAAATCAGACTTAAAATAAATTATTTAACAAAACAAAGCATTCAAAAACATATTATTAATAAATAATATTAATATTTTGAAAGCCACTGCATTTGAAGACAAAAGTCTCAGAGAAACCTATAATTTCCTTTTTCACCAAATCTGAGATAAATGGAAAAGTGATTGAAATATAATGGCGAGTCAAATGAAAGTGAGCCAACCCCTCCTCAGCAAGAATGGTTCGGTCCATCATCTGCGGCGCATGCGCGTAGCACAAAGACAGCCTTCATTTACGAAAGTGGCAAGAAAGTGTGAGGTTAAAGTTCTTTAAGGCGCTCTTACACTGGGTTGAAGACGGTAGCGTGACATAATGGACGCTCCAAAAGAGGAACAGCGTGGTGTGGTCAGGTTTTTGACAGCTGAAGGTGTTTCCCAACATGAAATTAGTCGCCGTATGACTGCTGTGTACGGTGAACATTGCATCGCATTGGCCACTGTGAAGCGTTGGAGCAAACGGTTCAGAGAAGGACGTGAAAGTTGCAAAGACGATCCAAGACCGGGCCAAAGCCACCTTGCAATCACCCCCGACACAATTGCACAGGTTTGATGAGCTGATTAGACAAGAACGGAGGATAAGCATCGATGAACTGGCAGAGCGTGTGAACATCAGTCACGGTTCGGTTCACACCATAATTCATGATCATCTCGGTTATCGGCTTTTGTGTGCTCAATGGATGCCCAAGATTTTGAACGACCGCCAGAAGACGGAGAGGTTCGGCGCTGCTTTGACTCATCTCATCCGGTATCACAATGAGGGTGACGACTTCTTGTCTGCAATTGTGACCGGAGACGAATCATGGTGCCACCACTACGAACCTGAAACACGCCGGCAAAGCTTACAGTGGAAACATTTGAATTCACCACCCCCCGAAGAAAGCAAAGGCTGTCATTTCCTCGGGAAAGGTGCTATTGACTTTTTTTTCGATCGTCAGGGGCCATTACTGATTGAATTTGCTAAACGTGGAGAGACTATCAATAGTTCGCGATATTGTGCAACGCTGGATCGGCTGCGTGTCGCAATCAAGAACAAACGACCTGGAAGATTGACGAATGGTGTGATCTTGCTACACGACAATGCTCGTCCCCACGTCGCTGATGTGGTTAAGACACAACTGGCAAAGTTCAAGTGGGACACGCTGCAACATCCTCCATACAGCCCAGATTTGTCGCCATGCGACTTTCACATTTTCGGGAAACTGAAAAAACATCTCAAGGGTACCAGATTCGTGTCGGACGACGCCGTGAAGGAGTCGGTTACAGACTTTTTGAATCGACAGCCCAAGGAGTTTTATGAGATGGGGGATCACGCGGCTCATTTGTCAATGGGATAAATGTCTCAATGTTCATGGAGACTACCTTTAAATAAAGTACTCTGTTTGTCATATATTCGCATTGGCTCACTTTCATTTGACTTGCCCTTATATAATGCTAGTCATTTTCACCCTCAAATTTACTTTGCTGTTTCATTTTTGCATGTAGTAAAGTGGAAAAGCCTATCACAAACATATATTGGCACAAATGGAAGCAATGTCCACATAACTCTTTTGTTATATATTGATAATATCCACCCATTACAGGGCAGAAAATCTGAATGATTTCTCATTGAACACATGTCTTGATTATGAATCACTATTTAGTTTCAGAAATGCTTTCAGAATATTCACATAAACTTTTTTAAGTTAATATTCGGACAGATTTTTCACAAAATTCAAAGTATCATTTGGAAAAGTATCAGCTGAATTCAGTCTCTGGAATTACTCAAACACTACAAAATTTCATGTTACAAAAATCCTTCTAGTTTACTGGAATCAAGAATAGATTACTCCTCCTCAAACACTTACATATTTTTAATATTGACTATTTCCTTTCAGTTCTAAAGCTTGTCTGCAAAAGTTTTTAAGCAGTCAATGAATTTTATGATAACTGAAATATTTCCCTGATATTCTTTTTATAATAACTGAAATTCTTCCTTGATTTGAAGAGCGAGTTCTTTCATCTGCTCAAACAAATAAAAGAGAGAGATGATTCTCGATTTCCAGCCGAAAGCAAAATTCCATTTTAGTTTGTATTGAAAAAAATAATTTGAGCTTTATGTCTTAGCTCTACACTCTGTCAATCTCATTTCCTCTTTAGACACTCAGCATTTATGTGGAAATGGTACAAATGATGATCTATATCTGTATCAATCCATAATTACTTGAAAAGTAGCAAGTCTAAAACTCTACTCTACAAAATTCAAAATTTCAATCGCATAATTTAAATTTTTCTTAGTGAAGCTGCATGCACGTTTTGAAGCCAATGTATCATATAGTGAATTTCTGTCACCCATGACAAAGTTTATAATGAAGATATTTTGTTTTCAAATGTTTGACACTCTATCTGTGCAGCATCAACGGACAATATCTCTCAAGGCTTTCTCCATTCAAAGGATGAACCATTTTTTAAAATGAAAGAGGCATTGCTAATTGTTTCCAAGAATAAATAAAATACAAATACTTCTTTCAATGAACTTGAAGAACATACTTTGTAAACATCAGCAACAAGGAAGGAATACAGTGCTACATCAGTCAGTTCATCAAACAGAATTTAACATAAGCCAGATGCTGCAGATATTATCTCTTGTACAATTGATCCTTGATATCAATGGCCTACTGCTGTTCCTTCTTTAAAGAATATTGTAATTTTTGTATTGTACTTTGAATATTGTATTGTACTGTTCCTTCTTTAATAGAATATTGTGTGAATTTTTGGTATTCTTGCAACAGAATGGCCCACGAATGACAGAGTGGTAAAGTCACTGAACGCTGGTAAATCAGTCTGGGGTTTGAATCCTTGCGAACAGGCTGGCTGCATAGTCACTTTCGTGGTTTTTCCCCAATGTAACGTGTATATGAGCTAGCTTCCCTAAGTCCTTCATGATGGCATCCCTCTTCTTAGGAAGACAGCTCTTGCATGCTTTGCCATAAATAAAAATAACCAAAACCAAACTATATCACAAGAGATGACCTATCAGACAGTATCTATAACAAGCGATCTACCCTGTATTCCTTTTGATTATGAATATGAACCACGATACACTTTCCTTACAGAACCTAAATCATCGAATGAATTTTGTTGATCCTGCAATGCTGCCAACACTCAGATAATAGAATGTCTATGAGGCCATCTTAATAATTAATTATATAGAATAAAAACATATGGAGAAATAATACTTGCAGTACTGCCCCATCACCTTACTGAATTGTGATGGCAATCTGTCAACAATGGGGACTAATTTTTGGTCATGTTGAGAGACATTGGGACAAAGTTTGTATGAATGAAAAATAGGGATAGCTGTCAATATTGTTTTAAATTTGATTATAGCAGTAAAATTATGACTATTGATAGAAGTGCAATAAGATTGCTTCAACTGACAGATGGCAAATAGGATCACTTGAATGGCATTTTTGATACAATGAAAACTATGGAGAGATATAATGAGCCCTCTTCAAAACCACATAAGTACTCTGTTCTGATAATGTCGTAAAATTAATCTGGTAATGTAATAAAAGTGTATAATATAATAAACTAGTAATGTAATAAAAGTAAATAGTGTAATGTCTACATACAGTACAAAGTTTGTAATCTGGACTAGTCGGGACTTCGGCAATTCTGGATTATAGATCATCAATTTAAATCTGGTAAGATGGCATGCAGAAATTATACAATTAAAAATATGAAACCATAAATTATGAAATAAAGAACAATTAGGATCTAAAGGATATCAAAATTTACAAAAAAAAAAAAAAAAAAAAAAAAAAAAGCTTAATATTTATTTGTTTACTTTATTAAAAACATTTCTTTCAATGTAAGTTGTTTAAGTTGCTTCATTTTTTGTGCTAAACGTGCATGCGTAAACATTAAATGCGCATGCATAACATTAAACACGCATGCATAAAGCATATAAAAAAAGTTTGAGGCTTTGAGGTCTGGATTATAGATCATTCCAGATAATGGATGTCTGGATTACAGACTTACAGACATTGTACTGTATTTGCTTATTTGTTGCTCCTTTTAGTCTGGTTTCATAGTACTGTAATCAGTTTCTTGGATTCACTAGTGGGAAAACACCTGTTATTTTTTTTAAATCATTTCCAATACAATTTTCACTACTTTGACAACATGATGTCAGATCCAAGTCTCCCAATTCAATTCATAGAAGGCATCTGAACAAATTTTAACTCCATATTATGCTCAGATTTATTCTTCTTCTTGTATTATGGTTGTTAATTCTGCAAATCTTGCTTTAATCTTTCTTAAGTTTCCTAAAATTGTTCATTAGAACTAAAGCTAAAAATAAACACTAGGATTATGAATGTAAATCCATATTGAGTATATGAATTATTGCAACCTCTTTTTTGTAGCATTCAATGGGACCTTTTAAATAAAATCTACCAACAAAATAAACAAAAAAGATGCATTTATTCATTAAAAACTTGAGAAAGATAGCAATTACAAATATCATAGAAGAAATGCAGAGAAATGAAATAAGTAAATGAACTTAAAAAGACAACAGTCATAGGTTAATTGATCATAAAATTAATCTAATGAGTCAGAATTTTCTTAAAAATTTGATTATGGAAAAGAACATTAAAGCTATCTGCTTAAGAGGATGGATACCATCATAGAGAGCTTTCTAAAACAAACTGGCTCATACCTATGTTATACATGAGGAAAACTACGAAAATGTCCAGACAATTAGCTCATTCTATGGATATGAATTTGGATCAAACTACCAGTGTTCAGAGACTTCACTGCTCAGCCATTCGTTGGCCCAAGTTAGGAAAAAAAATGCAAGCACAAAGCAGTTTTAGGGTTGCCATAAAATGGCAATTAAGGCATGGTTGCCACATTTGGCGAGAAATCATCCATTTGGCGACAAAATTGGTGATATGCCATGGACTGATGGAGAACCTTCTGGAACGAATTCTTACTGTTTGGTGTGGTGTTATGGCCAATAGAGTTGTTGGCCCATATTTCTTCGAGAATGAGTTCGGAAACGATTTCCGGAGCTTCTTACAGAACAATGATTGAAAACTTTTTGCGGCCAATGGCGAAGCAGAATCCTTTTTTATGGGGATATTAAAAAGACAAAGTTTATGTTAATAAACCAGAGACTATTAGACAGCTGAAGCAGAATATTTAAGATGAAATACTGAGCTTTCAACCAGAAACATTATGTGGTATAATGGAAAACGCGTTAAAAAGAGCCAATCTCTGTATCGAGAAAATTGGTGGACATTTGTTTGATGTCATATTTCATACATAATTTCCATAAAATATATTTAATGTATAAAAAAATTAATAAAAATAAATTATTATTACAAGAGTTACCCATGTTTAACATTAATAGGTCTTATTTGGCTAACCCTATTACAAAAACTACTCCAGGGGTCACAAGATAAGCAACGGCAAGGATAACAGACTTAAAATGTGCATTTGAAGTAATACTCAATTCTACAATTGAAAACAAAATTGTAAATAATGACCAATATTGAATCAGAAAAAATTTATGGAAAAAGTGGAAAAATATCGAAAGTCAAACTTTTCAAGCATATATTGGATCATTATTGTTAGCTGGTGTTTATAAATTATATGGAAAATCAACAAAACGCTTATGGGATAAAGAAACTGTCAGAAGTAATATTTTGTGCTACAATATCCTTCGAAACATTTTACACCATATCGAGAGTTATCCATTTTGATAATAAATCCACTTTTCAAGAAAGAAGAAATTTGGATAAATTAGCTGCAGTGCAAGATATTTGGGAAAAGTGAATAGAAATTCTACCAAAATTATATATAATCCAAACGAAAATATTACTGCATATGAACAATTAGTAGGATTTCGTGGCCGATGTCCTTTCAAACAGTATATACCAAGTAAGCCATCTAAATATGGGATAAAAATGTGGATTTTATATGGCAGTAATAACTTTGTATATACTGATAACACAAATTTACACTGAAAAAGAACAAGGGTCAAAGCCAGAGAAATATCAGGCTATGCAAGCAGTGTGTGATCTTACCTACGGGTATTCAGGACAAAATATTATATACTATATTGCATGTCATAAGGTTTTCACATTTTACACCTTAGAACAACTTCTTCTAAAACGGAAAATGGCTATGCTTGGCACCATTGGAAAAAATAAATCAGAACTTCCTAATAAATTGCTGGTCCATGATAGTATTCTATAACATGTTTGATACTTCTGCATACAATGCTTTTGTTCCATGGACTTCAATACATAGTGAATAGAACGAAAACAAATTATCTATAACGTAGGACAAAAGACAAAATAACGAGTCAAAGAATTGCACAAAATCGGTATCCATGTACCACCAAACATTGCCAAGTTTCGCCAAGGGGTACCCTAAACTATACTTTTACCCTAGAAGGTTGCTGTAGCAGGGTTGGTCGCTAAATTTTCAACAAAAAATCACCAAGTTACCATAATCCAATGATTAACCATTAGATTTTTTGGTAAACTTACATTACTATTGTTTAAACCATTTCTTAAATGGCATTTGTCAATTACTGCAAGAAAGGTTAGTTTTCTGAATTGGGTCATATTGACCGGAACGCTATGTACATGGAGTAAACACAAACAGAATAGCAAGGTTAAGAGAAATAAGGATGTGTAAGACAGATACTTATAAGATTTATGATAATTATGTTTTTATTTTAATTTTGATGCTTATATTTTACCAAAGAAAGTGTCTGCTTCTTTGATTTCATTATTTTAGGGGAAAAGAACTATTTTGTTATTTTTGCTATTCTTATATGATGCTTATTTTAAGTCCCATGAGCCTCTTCGTATACCAGAACGCTATGTACATGGAGTAAACACAAACAGAATAACAAGGTTAAGAGAAATAAGGATGTGTAAGACAGATACTTATTAGATTTATGATAATTATGTTTTTATTTTAATTTTGATGCTTATATTTTACCAAAGAAAGTGTCTGCTTCTTTGATTTCAGTATTTTAGGGGAAACGAACTATTTTGTTATTTTTGCTATTCTTATATGATGCTTATTTTAAGTCCCATGAGCCTCTTCGTATACCAGAACGCTATGTACATGGAGTAAACACAAACAGAATAACAAGGTTAAGATAAATAAGGATGTGTAAGACAGATACTTATTAGATTTATGATAATTATGTTTTTATTTTAATTTTGATGCTTATATTTTACCAAAGAAAGTGTCTGCTTCTTTGATTTCATTATTTTAGGGGAAAAGAACTACAGTCAAAAGTCGTTAATCCGGACTCGTCGGGACTTCGGCGATTCCGGATTATCGATTTTTCCGGATTATAGATCATCAGTTTAAATCTGGTAAGATGGCATGCAGAAATTACAAAATTAAAAATATGAAACCGTAATTTATGAAATAAAGAACAATTATGATCTAAAGGGTATCAAAATTTACAAAAAGAAAAAGCTTAATATTTATTTGTTTACTTTATTAAACATTTCCTTCAATGTAAGTTGCTTCGTTCATGTGATAATACTTTCTCTTTAATTCTATTAAACAGACATAATTCTTGTTTAGTTACAAAGTTCCGCTGTTCAAGTCCTATAATTGCTGTGTTGACCGACTAATTTGTCAATCGAAATGTTTTCGTTTTCAATAACCTCTGGGTCACTTTCTTCACTATCGGAAGCGAATTATAATGACGAGGAACTTGATTTAAATCATATCAAAGACGGAGTATATCGAGATGAAATACTACACTTAGTACGGAATTATAAACCAAATAAAATAAAAAATCTGCTCTGAAGATAAGGATAGTGTTGACAGATCAACTTCCAATCCCCGCAGCGTGAAATTGATAAACAGATTTCGGATTTCAAAAATACTTTCGCTTTGTAGATACAAATTACATATTAGTAAATATATATCGGAAATTCTATTTGACATAATCTTTCTAATCTATCATAATCTAATAAAGACGTTTCTGCCCCCCCTCCTCTGCCGCAGAGCAGCGTGAAATTGATAAACAGATTTCGGATTTCAAACATACTTTCGCTTTGTAGTAAATATATATCGGAAATTCTATTTGACATACTCGAAAGTTCAAGCTTACTTTTATAAAATTGCTCTAACAGTCTGCAAAAAATAATAAGCCGGATCCAATTCGAAGATTAAAGAACAACGCAATCTGCAACATTAACTGAATTAGATAACTTTAGCTTAGCGTGTAACTCCGTTACACATTAAACGCGCATGCGCACAAACATATTCGCAGCTGTAACGGTCTTATGCGCTCTCGTAAACGCCTGTGCGCGTGCGTGAACGCGACGCATGCGCAGAAAGTTTGTGGCTTTGAGGTCCGGATTATGGGTGTCCGAATTAACGACTTTTGACTGTATTTTGTTATTTTTGCTATTCTTATATAATGTTTATTTTAAGTCCCATGAGCCTCTTCGTATAATTTCTAGAACCTACCAGTCTGAAATCAATATAATTCCCTTCCTTGCAGGTATGAAGTTCTATCTTTCTGGGAGAATTTCTCACTGATTGAGAGCCACTGCGATTATGGTACATCTATAATGCATACACATATATATGGCAATATATATAGAAAGAGTAAATATAATGTACAAAAAGGTTTAAAATACATGATCTTAAATCTCCCAATAGTTTTATGATAAAAAGAGGACAAATGGAGCCACACTCTTATCAAATATTAAAAACATATAAGTACTTTTCAAAATATTTATTCACCGAAATACAAATTTAATTTTTTAGTGTATTGTATTTTATTTCAGCAGTACCATGTACAGTCAAAATTTTTATTTCTGTAACAAACAAAAATTTTTCCACTAAAATTAAATAATGAATTTATGTTTTATTATCTTAAGCAAACAACTCGTCTTTATTTATAGTGAAATAAAATTAGCTGTTAGGTCAAAATTAAACTAAGACACTATCTTTTGTAATGGAAGACAATAAGGCAATTACAAGAAGTATATTATTCAATTAACCCGTAACAGGGCAGGTGAAAAAGTTGAACATAACAGGGGACATGCGGTCTCAGAGACCGCGCATTATAATAAATTTTTAAAAATTGTCTAATTAAAATATCATCATGATATTTCACTTAGATGTTCTTTGAACATTTTACTCTGAAAAGAAAATATGTTTTTTACACTGTAAAGTGAAATTAATTTTTCCCAGAAAATTTCTCCATAGCCTTAAATTTTTGATCAAAATCATATGCTGCACTAAATTTTATAAAACTAAAAATAAGAATGACATCTATTTGAATTAAATTTTATCCATATTTTTAATATTTAAAGCAAATTTAACCAGAGAAATTGTATGTAGCACAATACAGAAAAATTTGACAGTATCTGAAATATCAGTATCTCACTGATTTTCTGATAGTAAACAATTGAGTTTTCGTCTTCTTTAACACATTCATTGCATAATTTTTGCTTGCATTCCAAACTAACAGGGTCTTGGAAAGATAAACATAAATATGCTGGCTTTCTTTTCTTGCTTGGGGGGCACAGACGACATGTTTTCCGTGATTTTAATTTTGCTTCTTTTGTGCACTGCTTCACATCCTTAGACTCAGCTTCTTTTGTGCACTGCTTCACATCCTTAGACTCAGCTTCTTTTCCTAAAATCCGCAGGCGCAATTATCGTATTCCTGGATTTTTCACTCTCGTGTGTAGTAGTGGTTGGACTTATTCTCTCGCTAATTCTTTCAAAAACACCATTCTGGTCATAACAGGGTTTTAGTTAAGAACAATAACACGCCGAATAAATACTAATTCAGAAGTCAAACAACAAAAATCAGCGTCATATTCACAAAATTTTCACAGGACTAGTTCGATGGTTTTACCGAACCATCATCTCAGCTGCAAAACCACAATGAACAGATAGGAAATAATGATTAGATAAGATAAGAAAGCCTGGACAAGAATAAGCAAATGGCGCCATCTGTTGGCGAACCAGAACTAAAACATAATTTCTCTAAAAGCCGAGGCAATTTTGGATTGGAATTAGGATCGTTAACTAGAACAGAAAGATTTTTATGAAGTGAAATGCCTCTAGAAAATCCGTTCTCCAATGGAAGATGTTTTTGAATAAGTTTTGCTCCTCCAACTAGCCCTTGATGAAGAACTAAATTATTTAAAAGCAATAGCTATTGACAGGGCTTTTCACCCAACATTATTAATCAAGCAGTTAAAAAATTCTCATCTCAACACACTAAAAGCCACACTCTTATTTTAGGAGATTATAAAAATTCTGTTGTCATTCCCTTCTTTCCATCAATTAGCTATAAAGTTGCACATATTTTGCAGAAATTTAACTTTCGGGTTGTTTATTCTCCCATCAATAAAATTCCAACTTCTATACTCAAGGACCCCATTCCGGATATGAATTCCTGGGGTATTTATAGGATTCCTTGCCAGTGTGGTTTAATTTACATTGGCCAAACTAAGAGAGCCTTAAAATTTCGCGTCAAAGAACATGAGGCATATGTTAGAAAAAAGGAAACACAGAAGTCTTCTGTTGCTCAACATTGTTGGTCCGAAAATCACACTTTCAATTTTTCTGCTGCCAAAATTATTCAAAAAACATCTTCCATTGGAGAACTGGATTTTCTAGAGGCATTTCACATTCATAAAAATCTTTCTGTTCTAGTTAACGATCCTAATTCCAATCCAAATTTGCCTTCGGCTTTTAGAGAAATTATGTTTTAGTTCTGGTTTCGCCAACAGATGGCGCCACTTGCTTATTCTTGTGCAGGCTTTCTTATCTTATCTAATCATTATTTCCTATCTTGTTCATTTGCGGTTTTGCAGCTGAAGATGATGGTTCGGTAAAACCATCGAAACTAGTCCTGCGAAAATTTTGTAGGTATAACGCTGATTTTTGTTGTTTGACTTCTGAATTAGGGTTTTAGTTATAACTATGGTGCAAAATGTATGCGTTTACTGTACTCATATCTACTAACCGGTTGAAAAGAGCCATAGCCAACGCGTTGTTCTCCTACTACAGGAATGGACAGACCATTTTTCCTCTAAAGCATCAACACCACCTTTGGTTCTGTTATAAAAACCAATTATTTCAGGTTTCTGTGTTTCCGAGTCTGTTTCTATTGAATAATGCAATGATGACATCAAAACCACTGCTTGCCTTTTCTTTGGAACAAATGAAATCAAGATTATGTCTTAGTAAATCCATACAATGTTGAATTCTCTTTTCTACTTACATGAAGAAATCTTTGGAATTTCTTTTTTATTTTTTTTAAACAGTTCCAACGTATGTCAGTCCATTTTTCAACAATTCTGTGGTAAGTTCTATGAAAGAAAACCAACTGTTGCTGTTACATTCCTGTTATATTAAAAATTGGTTTGCTCAACGCAGAACAGCTTGACTTGATTTGCTGAATTTTTTCCAACAACACAGTCTTTTCCACATAAAATATGCATTGTAAGCCCAATTATTCCGGGCATCAGTCAACCACATAACTTTTAATCAATTTCACAGCTTTTGGGCATATACATTTTAAAGCGACACTTTCCTCTGATCCAACAAACATTTCATCAATGCAGATGCAGTGCTATGCGTACGCTTTCTGGGAGTTATAAATGAATAAATTCATCACTTCAGAAATAAGTGATGCGGATCAGATTTCTTTCGTTTTCCCTATCATCTGGGTTTCTCAACGCAAATTTGAAAGTAAAATTTAAAACGTTTCATTGACGTAATGCACCGAAAAAATATCGCGGCCAGTTCCATCCCATGGCAAATAAAACATCAATATCTTCATGATGGGATTGAAGACTGATGTGTAAATAAGTAAACCCAAAAAATCTCTCAGTTCATCAACACAGGTGTAGTCATTTCACCTTTAATCGGATGACATATATGTTTTATTTTTCTTTCAATTTTTAGATTTGTCCATTTCACAATTATGCTTAAAAGTTCGTCAGTAAAAAGTAGTTGCCATACATTTTTTGGATCTGAATTATGAATTTTTCCATAAGGTCTTAGTTCAGGAAGTCTTAAGATATTGTGAGCTGGCCTTCTAACTTTTCGATTTGGTTCAACGGAGGACCATTTGAACCAATTATTTCCATAGCAGTATTTTACGGAATTAGTTGTTTCTAGATCAGAGAAATCATTGCTGTTTGCAGAAAATTCAGAGTCTGTTGAGTGGGTACCCCCTTTCGCAGAAATTTTCTTCACAGTCATCTTCTTCACTAAAATCACTTCCAACTTCGTCTAGAATTTTTTCAGTTCTTCTGCATAACGTGGGTCAGAAAGATAAATGAATCTCCGCGGACCTAACTTCAGAGCCATGTGTTCACTACTGCCAAAAATTGTGACATTGAGAGGGAGGTGAGGTCTCGCAGACCGCTCTAGAAGAATTTCAACAGATACACTTGCCAAAGCATTCCGATAAAAAGGTGTCAGAAAGAAGGTCACGAAACGTGAAGCTAGGGTAATAATCCATTCAATTGGACAAAGCATGAAATAGGGGTGATGGGAGGAACATGTGGCGCGGTTCGGCAGACCGCTCGTCCCGTTACGGGTTAAATTTAAAGTAAAATACTAAATTAGTAAGCCTAGATAAAATAATAATAAGCTTAGAATAATAAGCAAGTTTATTTGCATAATAAGCTTAAATTTATTTGGGTGCTTTTCTGTAGTTTGGATCAAATTTAGAAATATGTAGTATGGATGTGTGTGTACATACATGCATATGTACATACATACATGGATGTGTTTGTGTACACATATATACATACATTTGTGAATCCAGTCCCCTAATAACAGAAAAGTACCTTTATTTGCCTAGATAATAAATAAGCTATAATTGATTTGCCTAGCAAGAAGACTAAACAATCCAAACAACTGGAGTTGCAGATGTATGCAGTCTTCACTAAAATCAGTCTATGCAGTCTAGATAACTGGAATTCTACTGAACTTTAAATATTTGATTTGTTAACAACAAACAACAACAACAACAATAACAAAAAAAAAAAAAAAAAAAAAAAAGATTTTTTCTAACTTTCTCTAATTTTTATCTTATAGAAGCATAAAAATTTTGCTATACATTTACACCATA